ATAGCAATTTTTATTCTAGATGCCCATTCCATAAAGGACTGTGCTGCCCCTGCATACCATTCAATCTGTTTTAAGGATGCAGCTTGGTAAAAGGACGCTTATATCAGAGGAACCAATGAACTCAATTAAATTTGATATGTAGAAGTGATTAAAGAAGTGAAATGATACAAGAGCATTTCTGTAAAATAAAAGTTTAAAGATAAAAAACATGCATCAAGATGAATACGAACATTCTTTAGCCTTTAAACTAAACCTTAAAACTGCTAATGAAAAAGATAGCACATCTACAGCATGGCATCCATGGAGGATGGTTCATCAAACGTATCTCACATGAAGAGTGTTAGTATAAGCCATAAGGGTATAGATGGCAACCAACTGTTGAAAAAAACAAGTGACCGATGCAAGGATTAACCAATTTTAAGTAAAATATGAAAAGTATGTGGAGAATTATAATTGAACTGCAAGGAAACCTGAAGATTTTAAAAGATGGTCTTCCCAAAAGCATAGAATAGCAGTGCTTTAACATGCAAGATTATAAGGGCTTCAGAACATAGAAGTAGCATGGATTTGCAAGCTCTTCTTTTATCTTCTCATCCTAAAGCATGGTTTTATGAAGCTCTAGGCCACCTTTGTGTGATATAGGCATAGACCACCAAGGAATCTACTTACGAGGCTTGGTTAAGTACCCCCTTAAAGATTGCCCATTTAATTTGGTACAGACCTTTTAGCTCTTGAGGTGTAACTAACAAGCTTTGAAAGAGCAGTAGAAAGAAAGATGGAGTAAGGAAGTCACATTAAGGTAGAGTTATTTTTAGCCTTAATCGTCATATCATAGTAGGGCTTTATGCTTCTTCTAATTAATCTGTTGGGGTACAACATTAGCAGAATTCAGATAATGAATATAACTAGTCGCAAAATCTTATTGACACACTGATACAAAACTTTCAGAATTAAGGAAAAAAGAACATACCATGTAAATGATATTCTAAAGTCCTGTTGGGAACAAATTCATAAACAAGCAACCTCTTTACTCCAGTCATGCAGTATCCAACCAAAGAAACAAGATGTTTATGATGGACTCGGCTGATAGTCTCTACTTCTGCTTGAAATTCACGTTCCCCTTGATGGCTACCAACCTTCAACTGTTTAACTGCTATCTCTCTTCCTGTAGGAAGGACTCCTTTGTGCACATACCCAAATCCACCTTCACCTAGAAGGTTGGACGTAGAGAATCCACTAGTTGCTGACCACAACTCTTCATATGTGAAATTGCCACCCGAAACAGCTAAGTCCACTATGTGGTCTTTTGGTGAAAAACGAGTTTCAGCATCTAAATTATTGGAATTGGAATGAGCATTGTTGTCAAAGCAGAGAAGTGGGCGGAAGGGTATTATCACTTGCTTGGGGGAAACAGGAGAACCATTTGCTGCATTACGCTGTTTAAAACTTTGACGCAGATCATAATACAAGTCATCTGATGAATCAGTAGAAACAATTAGCAAATGATAATACCAGATTGAACTCATAATTCTTAGTGAACAACAATTTTGAACACATGCTGATAGATTAAGCTGCCAATATTTGTACTTTAAACAATTCAAACCCCGTTCTACAAAATGCAATTTGAAATCAATGCAACCAAATCTAAGGAAAGGTGCCTGTCTAAACAATATTTAAGCATTATAGCTGGTTAGACGTGAAATTTCCCATTTAGGAGATTAATGTACCAAAAGTCACATTTCTGGAAATGATAACTTTGGTTTCAAAAGTACCTTTTAATTAAGACCTTCAACTTCTTTTAGATTATTAATGGTAGGGCCTTACATAATACTACAAAAGAACCTCAAAATTTATGCCTTTCCTCTCTTTTTGTAAACCGTCTAACTCTCCATCTAATGAGACAAAGTGTTTGTCCAAGTCATGAATAGAGACTTAAGAATGTGGTTGCTTGTAGTTTTGTCTTTTTTGGTCTAGTCCAGATAAAGTTGACACATTTTTATATTTGAAAACACTTCAGTTTTAATTCTCTTATTTTACTCTTTTAATAATATTCTTTTATAGAAATGGCATGTTCAAAGTCATCAGATTCCAAGTATATTTCTGGTATGTTGCATATGGTAGTTGTCTGCAATGATGAATTTAGAGACAAAAGTCGCTATTATGTAGTAGTAATTTAGAAGTTGCTACTATTAAAATGACTAACAATTTGGATCACTAAATTTTCAATAGCTGAATGTAGAGGTAAAAGTCATTACTTAATCTGGAAATGGAATTAATAATAATTTGTATCCCCACTAAATCATAAGACAATAATAATATAACTAAATAGCTACTATTAGATTATATTTGAAACAGCAAAAGTGTGCCAGAAAAAAGTAACAACTCTGGACGTACATTTCTTTGCAAAATGTCAAGCTAGCAAGGAAATAAACAGCTGCAAATAAATAAAATACTAAAAGCTTGATGAGTACAGAAAAAGAGATCCTAAAACCGGTAGAGGTTTGGGCATGATAAAAATTATTTTCAGGAGATTTCCTTTATTTATAGGTTGGAAGTTTTCTTTTTCAAATATTATAATTTTTACTGTAGTATCACTTATTTCAAATAATAACAAATTCAAGAACATTTAATTGTTATGATATATTGATATGTAAGCAGATGACTTAATTATATTCAACCAAACACTAAAAAAAGTTAAAGATTTATTTAAATTGAAATATTTTCCTCGTACGATACAGAAAAAGCTTACCTTTTTGCCGTGGAGATTCATGATCATGTAATTTTCCATTTTTAATCTTATTCCTGTAACAAACGAAAAGTATTACTACAGCAACAATGAAGAAAGCTCCGGTGACGCCTACAGAAATTCCAATTACTCCTCCGATTGACGTACTTGACGATGAGTGAACTTTAAGCGGCGGAGGCGGCGAGGTTTCATCAGAAACTGGTGTTGACGAATCATTTGCTGGAAACGAGAACGCCGTTACCGGCGGTGGTGGTGTTGAAAGTACCGGAATAGGCGTCGGTAACGGAGGAGTAAATATCGCCGGCGGTAGTGGTTGTAAAGCTACTTTGTAATCAATAGGTTCAAATATTGGCTTTAATGCCACGTCCGCGGATAACGGAGCCGGCGACGGCGCTGGTTGTGAAAGTGAAAAATGCACGACTGTTGGCGGCGGTTTAGGAGTGGCTGTTGAATATAGTGGTGAAAAAGTGATATCAGCTTCACCTTCCGGCGGTGGAGATGCCGGAGAAGGTGACGGTGGCGGTGAATGTGAAGGCATTGGAGTTATGGAGTGGAAGTGAAAGATGCATGGAGAATTAAGAAGTAATTAACATGTATAGTTAGTTCCTAATACAACTGCTTAAGTAGTGGACGTGCGTAAGTACACTACTACTACTGCTGCTGCTGCTGTGAGTCGAGACCTGTATCACGACTGCCTTTTATTTGTTTTAAGTCATTCGTTTTCTTTTTCTTTTCTTTTTTCGTCTTTTTCTTTTTAATCTTCATTGAATAAATAGCAAATTTTATTAGTCTATGTTTGGCGGGACGAAAAATATTTTCTTAAAAAATAAATGGTTCTCTTACTTATTTTTCAGTATTTGGTAAGGTTAGGAANGCTGGGGGTAGAGGTAGGGGAGGGAGTGGGGGTGGAGCCGGAGAATAAGGTGAGAAAGATTGAAAAATAGTTTTGAAAAATGTTTTACGTCCCTTTTGTAGGGAATTCATTTTCCTCCGAATACATCCTTAGTAAAGTTCTTTTTTCCTTTTTGTTTTGCCAAAAATTGGTGGTTCAAATTTCAAAATTGAACCACCTATAAGCATTTGGCCTCATCTTACACGCATATAATTATCCCTCTGATTTTTTAGGACAGTATTATGTGAAAAATATCATTTTTTTTCTTTGAATTAAATATATCACTGACTTACTAATATATCAATATTTCAATCTTGACATACGGATTGAGGAATATTTCTTATCAGACTTGTGGGGAGCCCGATTTCTTGATTTCATTTGTGATGTCAAATAGAGTTAAAAGAAAAATAATGAAGTTCATAAGTGCTGAAACTACTTCTTATGAAGGTGATCTAGAGAATTGTTTATTGAAATTCTCATATTCTCTCCTCAAAAATGGATCTTTAGCTAAGAGATCACTTGAAACATGTGTAATTTTTTTCTATTGAACTGAATTGATTGAGATTAAATATTTATCCTGTATTTCTTCTCTTTCCAGATTAGTTAGTATGTGCTGAGTCAACAGTTAGTAGTTAGTTAGTGGTCAGTATTTGATAGTTGTAGTCACATTAGATTAGATATTTTACATTCATGTTGCTAGTTTTATATAAGGGGACCTACACATAATTAATCAGATTGAGATTTCTTCTTCTCTACTCACGTGTTCTCTGCTTTCTCTTCTCGGTTCTTTCTTCTTTCTAGAAGCTTCCGACCTCCATTGTAGCTCAGTTCGAGCTAAGTTTGATATGGTATCAGAGCCACATAGGTTATCTCTCTCTCTCTCTCTCTCTCTCTCTCTCTCTCTCTCTCTCTCTCTCTCTATCCA